TCGGAGCCCCAAAATTACTGGCCATCCCGTGGGAACCCCAGGGGGAGCCAAACTTCCGCCATCGCGAGCCACGTCTCCAAGTCACAGGCATCGTAAATAACACACGGCAAAGAACCAACGGCTGACGAATCCAATGCGAAATTATGCATGCGCTCGAGAGCGAACCCTTCATTCCGTCTGTCGCACACGAAACCACCAATTCTTGTAACAGCGCGAAAACTCGTGCTGCAGAGGAAAATTTATAAAGGCGGGCTAGTCGTAACGAAAACAAACCCCAGACTATGGGGGCAGTCAATATCCGCAAACTGACTAGCGAATTTCCAGCAGTGTGGATGCCCCACACACGCTCTCCCACCCCCTCCCCCCCCCCCCCCCTCCTCCTCCCTCTTCCCACTCCAAAACAATCCAGAGTATTCAAGAAACGAAAAGGACGATCACAATTCCGAACGAAAACATATCATAAATCCACGAAATCAAGGGGCGACTTTCACACTCGCGTGAATGTCACGAAAAATGCCATGAGCAGTTTCAAACTCGTGGGAATTTCCGATTTCGCACCTAAAAAGAAATGCGTAACTTCCACACCCACGTGTACTTACGAGACCTCCGAATGCTGTGGCCGATTTCACACTTGCGGGAATTCACGACTACCCGTTTTAATAAATTCGCGGCGAGGTTCCTCCAGCACGAAAGTATTCATGGTGGCTGTATTGCCCTTTTGATTCTGTGCAGAATCACAAAAACGGGCTCACTTGTGAGCTGGCAGGAAACACGAACACCATCGTACGGTGCAAAGCGTAACCGAGTGGGTCAACACCCAAGCACACCCATTGAGAATCTGTTTTAACCACAAAAAAAGCGGGGCATCCTGAAACCGCGGTTACAAAATGGCAGCTCCTTGAACGTTTCGCGCCTCTTAAAAATGTGTGATTCTTAGCAAAGGCACGAAATATCCCCTTGAAATTCTTAAGCAGACTTGGTTTCAGCGCAAAAACTTGAATTCGTGCGAAGACTTGATTGCCCACGTTTTTCCGATCTTGAGAGCGAACAAAGGCGCGATTTCAAGTTTCCGCGCTTAAAATCGTAATTTTCCCGTATCCACTCCCTCTCAACGGGAAAATATTTTTTGTTGCTCCAGTCGTCTGATGAGCGAAAGTACTGGTCTCATGGGTTTCGATTTGAAGGGAACGAAAATTTCGTCCCCACGTCACTGGGGTTTTCGTACGCAAGCACCCTTGCATATGGTAGATGAGTACTCCCACATTTGCCTTCGGTCCTTGCGTGTGAATATTCCGAAATGACTGTACTTTTCAATTCGGGCAACATTCTCGGTTCACATCCTAAGTGTTGCCACCCTGTCTGTACACTGAGTACTTAGTCGAACTGCGCGAATCCGGGCCTGAAACCACCGTTGAATTGTGTTTGCTTCGATTTTTCCCTTTTCGAGCTCGGGCGATCACACACGCGTACATTAGCACAGGGATAGCCGTTGAAATACCCTGTTCGCACAAAGCATATAGGCATTATCGGGTGCGAACTTCCCTTCCGTTTCACGGGCGAACACCCGTCCGATTTTCGCGGGTGCGAAAATACACAGATTGCAGCGAAAAAAAAAATTGCAGCCAAAAATTGCATGATTTGCTTACACAGATTTCTGCTTTCCGATTCACGCCTCGTGTTTGCAGCTGTGGTCGGGTAGCCAGGCCCACGACGAGCTGTGCCCATTTCAGGACGGGACAGCTGGCTGAGTCAGCCAGGTCCCCACCGAGCTGCGTAATTCGGTTCGGAGACGAGTCAGCGGTTGGTCCCCACGGGCAGCCGAGGCCCGGCGTCCCGGTCAGGTTCCGAAGGGCCGGGCCTCGGTTTCCTCGCGAAGAGGGTCGGGCGAGGCGGGCGGCTGACAGGGCACTTCCAGGCTGGCTCGCTCGCGTGCCCGGGGTGACGACGGCGAGGGCATCGGGCCTCCTCGCGGCCCCTCCCTCGCGGAGGAAGGCGACACCCTCGGCCCGAATGAGCATTTCGCCGCTGGAATGAACCGCGATGCTGGCTTGCATTACCAAGCTGAGCTGCATTCCCAAGCTGAGATCGCCTTCCTGAGATGGGGCCCCATTCGGCCCCATCCGACGTGGCCCCCAGCAACAGTTCACGAAACACGTGCCTGTGGCATGGCAGCAAAGTGGGGGGTGAATGTGGACGTCGCCTGAGTTGGCAGCCGAGGGTCGTGCGAAATTTGCAGACGTTAACTTTCCATGCGTCCGAACGTCAGAACGACAGTCTCGCTAGACTGTCAAGGGTTCCCAGTCTTTGTTTAATTTCGCATGTTCTAAAAAGTCAATGAAGTACGTGCCGAAAACTTAGTCAATGAAGGCATCTTGGTCCCCCAAAGAAATGTGTTTGGAGCATTTGGCGTGGTTCGATTGGAATTGGAGCCGCGAATGTGTTTCGGCGGGCTTGGAATTGCGAAACGCTAAAACCAAACATTTCTGCCGTTCCCTCCCAGACCGTTTTCGACCGTCTAGTAGGTGCATGCGGCCGTTGGGTATGTCGCATGAACGTTTGCTGCGGACGCAGGTGAGTGGTTGCACCAATTCTTTGTTTGTTCTTCGCCTAATACGACTCCCGTCGCATGGCACGTGTGGTGGGTGTGACCTATATCAAATCTGCCACGCTGGACCAATGGTGCTGCTCCCCCATTCGGCCCCATCGCAGGAAGGCGACCTGATTCTGAACGACGCTGGATGCCTTCCGAACTTGCATGCGTACATGCCAGCATGGCATTGCGTCTGGTTGGCAGGCCAGGTCAGATCGCCTTCCTGCGAACTTGGGGCAGGACAGCTAAAGTGCAAATATCTGGGTCCAGCCTGGCAGCTTTCACGTTGTTTTCATGTTGCTCTCTCATGGCCTGGCCTGGCCTGGCCAACCAGACGCAATGCCATGCTGACATGTACGCATGCAAGTCTGGAAGGCATCCAGCGTCGTTCAGAATCAGGGCGTATTTCAGGCCTCGTAACAAGTGACTTCCGAACAAGTTGGTCGTCGCACAGGGCCCAAGTTGTTACGAGGCTGAAAGTTATACCTCACAACAAACAGGTTTCAGCACGATCAAGAAATTCGCACATGTACAGAGTTGGGTCGCATTCAGTAATATGGCTCGTCGATTCACTGTCTGCGAAGCCTACCAGGTCCATAAGCTGACGGCTTCACGAGCCATCTTTTTGTTGGTGCTGCCCAAAAATATTATAGGGGAAAGTTCCAACACAGAATTGGAAACAGCATCACAACAGGCCAGCCTCTTGGCTTCGAAAGTGCCTTGAATATCAAACAGCCCGTCAAAATTATTTCAGCAGCTAGAGGGTGACGAAACCAGGTCGCCTGCTGTCAGATAGACAGTGCGCGACGGGAGAATCATGATCGCCAGCGTTCGTAATTCGGCTAGCTTTTAGCAAGAAGCTGTTACGAAGTTTTGGTCGCCACAAATCGCCAAAAGTAGCAGAAAATCGCAAAGGCGTCGCTTGTTACGAAGTGACTTGTTCGTAACATCCTGAAATGCGCCCTCAGCTTGGGAATGCAGCTCAGCTTGGGAATGCAGCTCAGCTTGGTAATGCAAGCCAGCATCGCAGTTCATTCCAGCGGCGAAATGGAGTTTGTACTATCTTCAGTCTTGGGATCCAGCTTGCTTGCAAGCTTTCGTGCCCACGACACCACTTACGGGGTGATCAAAGCGCTGCAAATTTCCGACGTCGAGGTTGTTGGGCGAGTAGGTGAGCTGAGGGGTGCCATATTTGTGATCAAAGTACGCTCAAAAATTGCTGACGCCACCATCGCCACATGTACGGTATTGAGCGCAACAGACAGCAAAACAGTTCGACAAGAACTGTATTCTCGAAAGTGACGAAGCTGTACAATTCGCTTGTGGTTTTTCGCAGCCAATAGACGTACTATATATGCACACGAAAAAAGCCTTACGGTTCCCGACATTCGTCTGAATTCAATTGTTATACTATTTAGGCCGGCATTTGTCCTGTGTGAAAGCTCGTCGCCGGCATTGTGATCAAAGTGCCGCTTTCGACGTCGATCAACGTCGAGCTCGACGTCTATTGACGTCTGACTCCCGACGTCGCAGTTCATAAAAAATACTTTGATCACTCCTTTACTGGTGCATATAACTCCCACCACAAGTTCGCCAATTCCCTCTCGGTTTCAACCGTCAGGATTACCGACGTCGGATGTCAACGGATGTCACGTTCACTTCGGACCCGCTCTTACATCCGAAAATTGACTGGTCCCGATAGTAACTTTTTCAGGGCCGAAAACTAACTCTGGAACAAGTTACTGGAGAACTGGCTTTTTTGCACGCGACTGACTCAAGGTCGCAGGCTGCGTTTCCCCAAACTATTGGGAACCAATCGAAGGTAACTCGGAATAGGCTCGGCAAAGCTTCTGATTCGTATACGCCAGGGGCTCGCTCGTCGAGATTTGGCGTGTAGTTTTCCCGCCTATTCAAACACCAAGTATTATTTATCCGCGTGTGCTTTTCCGATTGGCTGTCAACATACAGGTGCATTTGATAATCGTGATACACTAATGCTGTCGAAGCTGTTTTTCGATTACGATACAGATTGCGCCCTGTTTGTGATTATATCGATTCGAATACTTCTTTTGATATTTACTTGTACATGAAGTGTACCGCTGACCAATGGTTGTGATATGTACAGTAAATAAAATATACTTCAATTATTTGGTTTTTCGTGTAAATGATCCTGCATTGCAAAACTAGATTCTCTACAAATATATTTACATCTAATATGAGAATCGGTAGGACTGTTAAACAAAAAAATATACAGTCATGATCCAGAGTGTACTCTGCATGAAGTACAGTCTAAAGTATAATACCATACCAACATTGTATCAGGCTGAGTATATCTGCACTAACAAACAATACATAAAAACAAGCCTAATTGAGGATACAGGTCAAATTTTCCTAATAACCTTGCACGCTGTCATGTCACTTCGTTACTCTGCAGGCTGCATCAGAACATAACATAAGCATAGTGAGAAAATTATGATAAAAGGATGTAGCGGATCGTATGCATCAAAATAGCACTTACTGTGTGGAAGAAACTAGCCCTCCTAGATGCACCACTACCCGCATATACGACCTGGAGAGACGAGTGTCAATGAGACAGATTGGGAAAGGGGCAATAAGAGCTCTGCTGGTGAGAAAAGGCTGGTGTGTTGGGAGAGCGTAGAGAACGGAAAGGACAGAGGAACGGGGAGAGGGTGCAGCAAGCATAGAGAGAGCCCCTTCAACTCCCTTCCCTCCCTTCCCTCCCTTCCCTCCCTCCCCACTATCCCCCACCCCCACCCCCCCCCTCCCCTTCCCTCCCCTCATTCTCATGCCTTCGCGGTAGCCCCCAGCTCACCTCGGGTTGAACCAGCGTAGGTCGAACACCGGCGCGCCCGGCGCCACCCGAGCGGACCGCAGCGTCTCCAGCTCGTCCGCCGCCACCACCGACTGCCGCTGCTGAAGCCACTCGTCGAGTGCACGGGAGCGAGCGAGCGCACGCGCGGGAGGTGCACGGTAGCGAGCGAGCGCGCGCGCGCAAGGTGGCACTGGAGCGAGCGAGCGAGTGCGCGCGAGGTGAAATTGACCGACGGCACCACCTAGTGCTCTCTGCGAACAGTAGGAATGAGGGGATTGGGAAAGAGGAACGCGGGAAAACAGGGACGTAGGAATAGGGGAGGGAAAAACGGGGATGAGAAGGAACAAAGAAGGAATGAGAGAAGGCGGGGACGCAGGAAAAAAACTTCATGGGAAGCAAATGCAACTTCGTGCAACGACAAACTCTGAGAGGTCACCTTAGGGCGCGACAACCAGCGCCGCTACACCTCACAAGTTCCGTACGCGGCGGCAGTAGATCCGCACGCAATGGCGGCGGAAGTTCCCCATGCTGTAACGGAAGTGCCCCGCTTGCCGCGTGGGGTGCACTGATGCGATCGAGCAATCGGTCGATCGAGCGCGATGCCCCCGTGATAATCGCTCTCTGCCTGCAAAAACAAGGAACGTCCAAAAAAACAAAAACAAAAACTACAAGAAACTTCTCGTACACACATACAAGAAACCTCGAACACAAAAGGACCCGACGACGACGTTACGAGCAGCGCGACAACCAGCGCAGCTACGCCTTGCACGTGGGGATCGACGAGATCGGCACGATTCTGTGGCGGGGTGGATACTAACGAGGGAAATGGCTAAGGCAGAGAGGAGAAACGAGCGCATTGAGAATTTCGAAGCTCTCAAACGCACTCAAATATACATACACTCGTGTGTGGGTGAGAGAGGCTCGTTTGGGGGGGGAAGGGGGGGGGAATCGAGATGAAAGAGACGTGGGGGTGGCTGTAAATCGGGATGGTCAAGATTAAACAGTTGAGATATTATTGTGGCAGATCGACGGTTCAAAATTCAAGTGACACAACATCACTAGAGCTGGGGCGTGATTTTGTTTGGCGGAAATTGCTGAGTCAACGCGATGAACCCGGAGAACCGTCGATAACTCAGAAGTGCGCTACCAAACTAAGGGCATCCATCTCGCCAGCATTATGCAATATAACCTAGTCAAACAGTCCAGAAAACACAATAATATCACTTAAATCTGCTTTAGCACATGACATAAACAATAATATCACACAATAATATCACTTAAATCTGCTTTAGCACATGACATAAGCATTTTATGAAGCTGTTGAAGAATCCTAAACAAGGACAGCTCTTATTAACATTTTCCAAAGTATATGGGTATTTGATTCCACACAGTAGGCTCCACAGGCGTGTTTACAAGGCTCCATGCGTTGTTAAACGTCGTCATAGTACTACTACAACTATTACTACTACTAATACTACTACTACTACTACTAATGCTGCTGCTGCTGCTGCTGCTGCTGCTGCTGCTGCTGCTGCTGCTGCTGCTGCTGCTGCTGCTGCTGCTGCTGCTGCTGCTGCTGCTGCTGCTGCTGCTGCTGCTGCTGCTGCTGCTGCTGCTGCTACTACTACTACTACTACTACTACTACTACTACTACTACTACTACTACTACTACTACTATTACTACTACTACTACTACTACTACTACTACTACTACTACTACTACTACTACTACTACTATTACTACTACTACTACTACTACTACTACTACTACTACTACTACTACTACTACTACTACTACTACTACTACTACTACTACTACTACTACTACTACTACTACTACTACTACTACTACTACAACAAACAACAACAACAACAACAACAACTACTACTACTACTACTACTACTACTACTACTACTACTACTACTGCTGCTGCTGCTGCTGCTGCTGCTGCTGCTGCTGCTGCTGCTGCTGCTGCTGCTGCTGCTGCTGCTGCTGCTGCTGCTGCTGCTGCTGCTGCTGCTGCTGCTGCTGCTGCTGCTGCTGCTGCTGCTGCTGCTGCTGCTGCTGCTGCTGCTGCTGCTGCTGCTGCTGCTGCTACTACTACAATCACCACTACTACTACTAATTCGAGGACGACGACTGCTACTACAGGGACAACAACGACAATAACTACGACGAAGACGACGACAACGACAACTGTGTTGGCTAATACTGGTAACAAAGGCATCCAGACGTTGGCGCAGTAACGTGTTGCGCACACGCCTATCCTTGCACGGATTCAGGCCAGCAAACACACAAACATGCACCACGAGCTGCGTAGTTGTGCTAACGAGATGAAATCAGTTCCTATGGCTAGGTAATAGGATGTAGTAGAGAACTGTGTGAAGAAATAGTGGTGAAAGAGGCATCCAAACGCTGGCGTAGTGACATGTTGCGCACAGGCCTATCCTCGCACAGATTCAGGCCAGCAAACGCACAAACATGCGCCACGAGCTGCGTAGTTGTGCTAACGAGATGAAATCAGTTCCTATGGCTAGGTAATATGATGCAGTAGAGAACTATGTGAAGAAATAGTGGTAAAAAGGGCATCCAGATGTTGGCACAGTGACATGTTGCGCGCAGGCCTATCCTTGCACAGATTCAGGCCAGCAAACGCACAAACAAGCGTCACGTGCTGCATAGTTGGGCGAACGAGATCAAATCAGTTCCTATAGCAAGGGAATAGGACGTGCTACCTGAACGTGTGAATAAATGGTGCTAAAAGCTTCATCTAAACGTTGAAATGGTGACATGATGCATACATGTCTGTCCTTGCACAAATTCAGGCCAACAAACACACAAACAAGCGTCACCTGTTGCGTAGTAGTGCGACTGAGCTCAAACCAGTTCATATGGCAAGGTAATATGATGTACTACCTGAATGTGCAAAGAAAAAGTTCTAAAAATAACATCTAAATGTCGAAACGGTAAAATGTTGCGCACAGGCCTATGGTTACATAGATTCGGGCCAGCAGACGCAACAACAAGCGTCACGTGATGCCTATTTTGGCAAACGAGGTCAAACAAGTTCCTATAGCAAGGTAATAGGATGCAATACTTGAATGTGTGAAGAATTAGTGCCAAAAACAATATCCAAACGTTGAAACGGTAACATGTTGCGCACATTCCTATCCTTGCATAGATTCGGGCCAACAAACGCACAAACAAGCGTCACATGCTGCCTATATTGGTGAACGAGGTCAAACAAGTTCCTATAGCAAGGTTATAGGATGCAATAATTGAATGTGTGAAGAAATAGTGCCAAAAACAACATTCAAACATTGAAACGGAAACATGTTGCGCACAGGCCTATTCTTGCATAGATTCGGGCCAGCAAACGCACAAACAAGCGTCACGTGCTGCCTATTTTGGCGAACGAGGTCAAACAAGTTCCTATAGCAAGGTAATGGGATGCACTAGTTGAATGTGGGAAGAAATATTGCCAAAAACAACAACCAAACGTTGAAACGGAACATGTTGCGCACAGGCCTATCCTTGCATAGATTCGGGCCAGCAAACGCACAAACAAGCGTCACGTGCTACCTATTTTGGCGAACGAGGTCAAACAAGTTCCTTTACCAAGGTAATGGGATGCACTACTTGAATGTGTGAAGAAATAGTGCCAAAAACAACATCCAAACGTTGAAACGGTAACATGTTGCGCACAGGCCTATCCTTGCATAGATTCGGGCCAGCAAATACACAAACAAGCGTCACGTGCTGCATATTTTGGCGAACAAGCTCAAACCAGTTCCTACAGCAAGGTAGTAGGACTTGAATAAGTGAAGAAATAGTGCTAAAAACAAATCCAAACGTTGAAACGGTAACATGTTGCGCAGAGGCCTAACCTTGCATAGATTCGGGCCATCAAACTTACAAACAAGCATCACATGCTGCGTAGTTGTGCGAACGAGCTCAAACCAGTTTCTATGGCAAGTTAATAGGATGTTATACCTGAATGTGTGAAGAAAAAGTGCTAAAAACATTTGAAGATTTGAGCAGGGAACAATGTTCAAGGATAGGCGTGTGCGACACGCGGTGCCGTTTCAATGTCTGTTTATTTTTTTTTACAAGGTTTCTTTTGATAATTCTCTACATTTACTATGATGCAAGCACGCAGTACAAATTTGGTGTCATTGGCCACATCTGGTAGAAAGGTGTGTTGTTTCACGGGACTGAGCAGGGAAAACTGTGCAAGGATAGGACTGTCCGTTTGCGCAGTGCCATGTCATTTTTTTTTTACAAATGCGTATGGTGGTATAATGATCTTCTGAAACAAAGATTCCAAATTTACTTTCTGAAATCACAAAACACAAAAACACGCTTTAGTTTACTTCTAGTGGTGAATACAATGTATCAAATATGCCTCTGTCAATTTTTCATTTCACATATCGAACATCGAGTATTGAGCCAGAAGGGAGTTCCGAACAGTGTCGCGCCAGATACTGCCACCCGTGCAGTCAGAGAAACGAGGTTTCAGTGCAAAAAGCGACGCGCGCGACAATTGTTCTGCAACCGGTTTGGCGCCAAGCTAAAACCACCGCGCCCAGACCAAACTCGAACCTCCGTCCCCCGTTTCGGTTCGGTTTCGGAGCAGCACCACAACCAAATGCCCCACAGAAGTTACTTCGCCAAACTAACTTAAGTAACTTTTTGGGGCCCGTCAATTTTGGGATGTAGCGATACATCCACCACTCGCCCACCAATTCTCTGCGATGCTGGAGCTGAGTCAGATTTGTAGTCCACGTCAGATCTAGGATCGTCTCTAGCGAGTTGTCAAATTTTTATCTTGCGAGCCCTATTCTCGCAAGTTGCGAGTGCTAGTCCGCCTTGGAGTCCAAGGCGGCATAGGCGCGCCACATCAGATCACCCGGTGATGTGACGTGACGTGATGACAGAAAGTAAACTCTTTGCCACACCGCAGTCGGGCGGAAGGGCGGAGCTCTCAACCGCATCCGGCAGGAGGCGGGAATGCGCAGAAAGTATTTCAGGGACGGGCCATCATCCCCAGTCAGCACATCATTCTTTTCCATCGTTACACTAACAAGCACTACTACTATCTCTCTTGTCTCACCTTTGGGCTTAACTTCGTCATTGTCATCGTAGCTTTTCGTCATTGTCATCGTAGCTTTGATAACTCGGGATCAGCCATGACTGGGATGCGACACCGCCGCTCTGGCCGTGCATTTGCTGCCGCACTGGCTGCTCTCATGCTCTCAGGTATGCTCATTCTCACTTGGTGAACAGTTATTGCCTGAGTCAGCGCATTGTTTTACGATTTAGGGTTGTCCCGGACGCATTTTCTGCACATTGTTGCACGTGTGTTGTTGCGCATACATGTCAGAACATGATTCTCATTGCCGATGAGTCGCTGGCAGTGCTGAGTTGCTGGCCTGACTAACTTCATCATCATCCCTACTCGTTTCTGCCAGCCTGTGCACCCAGGGCTGCTGTGGCCATTCGCCTGCCAACTGATTCCAGCATCAAGTGCTCAGTGGGTTACGTGAAGGACGCACAAGGCAACTGCGTTGGTGGGTGCTGTGAATGCAACTCAAATGGTGCACCACAACAGCCTCAATTGCGACCTGTATTTCACTTTACAGCCTCAACATATAATCCCGCATATGTTCTTCTGTCTGTGCCCTAGCAGTTTCCTACCTCATTCTGCGCGGCCGTTTCAGCTCCCCATGTGCTTACGATCCCACGTGCCTGTGTCTCCCACGTGCCTGTGTCTCCCACGTGCCTGGGTGCAGACTCGTGCACGGTACGCAACTGCGGCACCAACGCGAGGTGCCTCAAGAGCCAGGCGGGCCGGGCGGACTGCGTGTGCGACAGGGGCTTCAAGCTGCTGCCCGATGCGTCCTGCGCTCGTGAGTGGCTCCACCCAACCTTTTCTTCTGTAGGAGTTGCTTCCTATATCCGCTGCTGCTCAAAGTCGGTGTTGTACATGACACAGTCGTGTCACTGCTGCCTCTCGTTCAAGCCGTCTCAGTCGAATCCAGGCATGCTGTGGGCACTCCAACATTGTTTACTTTGTTTTCTTTTTTTGTGCCTCTAATTTCTCTTTGTTTATTTGTTTATTTATTTTTATCTCCCGTGCGTACTCTCGTGTCCACCCTCTCGTGCTGAACCTGGCAGAGCTGTGTACCGCTGAGGACTGTGGGGAGAACGGCTACTGTGAAGAGGACCAAGGAACCTCCTCCTGTCATTGCAACAGTGGCTTTGAAAAGACCGCGGACGGCTGTGTTGGCGAGTGCTGCTTATCCGTGCGGGAAAGGCCAGTTGGCAATGCTGATTCTTCCAGCGTGCTGGATTCTAATGTTCTGCTGCCCCCTTTGACTCTTCCCTTTCCAGATACGTGTGTGCTCCAGGCGTGTGCTGGAAACGGCCAGTGCGTCAAGGACGAGGGGGGGGGTGGCGTCCTGTGTTTGTGACCCTGGATTTGGGTTGGAGGCGGATGGCAAGACATGCACAGGTAGCTATCTGCTGTGTGCTGCAGACGTGCTGCGTGCCGCTTCTGATGCCATCTGCTATAAATGTGCTGTGCTGATTATCTATGATTCCCTTCGCATTCACTGCAGTTACTGCTGTTTTTATGTTCCCGTCGCTCCTTCCTCCTCTGGCAGACACGTGTGTGCTCCAGGAGTGTGGGGAGAACGGCCAGTGCGTGCAGGACGAGAACGGGGTGGCGTCCTGTGTTTGTGACCCTGGCTTCACGCTGCGGGATGATGGCAAGTCTTGCCATGGTGAGGCTGCTGATTTCAGCTATGCTTCTGCCCTTTGCTCTGATAGTGCCTTTCAACACAGTCCAACTTTCTGCCCTCCTTTCACCTTCAGCTCATTTCAATGAGTTGTTTCATCACTCCCAACTATTCCCCGGCCCCCATCGTTTCTAGCAGACAATTCACCCAACGGGCCACCTGATTTTGTTGACCTGCCACCTGCTGCTAGCAACCGCCCCTGCCCAGCGGGTGAAGAAAGGGACGCAGACGGCAACTGCGTTGGTGGGTGCTGTCGGAAAGAGTCAATGCAGCATTGCTCCACTGCAGTCTTGTGGCGGCTGCTTTCTGTGTTACATCTTCTAGATTTAGTGTCTGGCCGGGTTTCTCACCGGTTGTGATGGAAGATGACGACGTGCCTTGTTCTGCCCTTACGTCCTTATCTGCCCCCATGTGCCTTGTTCTGCCCTCACGTTCGTGCTTGTCTGCCCCTGTGTGCCTGAGTGCAGACTCCTGCGTGGTACGTAACTGCGGGCCCAACGCCAAATGCCTCAAGAGCGAGGGAGGCTGGGCGAACTGCGTGTGTGAAAGGGGCCTCAGACTGATGCCCAATGCGTCCTGCTCTCGTGAGTTTCCTTGGAAAGTCTCCCATCCCATGTCATTGCTGCCTCTCATATTGACCTTGCTGGCTGCAACCGAAGTCCTCTTGGGCTTGCATACAGGCAGAGAGTCCTGTCCTCACTCGACCGTTCTGTCCTTGTTCCATTTGTGTGTTCTTTCTTGCCATGACCCAACAGACTCCTGCTTGATAATGGACTGTGGGGAGAACGCGTACTGTGAGAAGGAGCAGGAGCTCGCCGTCTGTCACTGCAACTGGGGCTACGCCATGACAGACACCGGCTGTGTTGGTCAGTGCCGTGCAATGCGTGACAAATCTGTCTGTGGTATGTGGGCAGGTTACCAAGACTGAGTGGTGTACTGATATAATGCGCTTCCCCGTTTTCCTTTTGTTGTCCTGACACTTTGGGTTATTCTTTCCGTCGCTTCTTCCCCCTATGGCAGACTCATGCATTCTGCAAGCGTGTAGCGCAAACGGCCACTGTGTGAAGGATGCCTTGGGGTTGGCGTCTTGTGTTTGTGACGTTGGCTTCACGCTGCGCTGCAGAGCGATGGCAGGACGTGCCAAGGTATGGGTGCTGTGAGTTGCTGTGTGTTGCTATGTGTTTATATGCTTTCGTGTCCTTGTGTGTTTTGCTGCTCAATGTTTCCTCACGCTCTCTTTCTCGTCCTTCTACCCTCTCCACTCCACCTGCGGCAAGCCTGCATCTGTGCATCCTCTCCGCATCCCCCTCTGTCACTCTCCTCTTGATCCACACAACGCTCCACACTCAATGATGTAGTGCTGTTACACAATTCTTATCTACCTGCTCTCCTATCAGGCTAGAATATTCCCTCATCAGTTACACTGATTCTTTCCCCCCTCCTAATTTACCTGCTCTCTTATCAAGCTAGAATATTCCCTCATTTCTCTACCCCATGCTCACCAGGATCTGCCACATGTGGGAACTGTCCGAAACGTGCCACATGCACAGTGGTCTCATCTACCAAAATGGCTCCGTACTGCATCTGTCCTACTGGCTATGGCATGACCAAATTTGGTTGCATCCGCGGTAAGACTGTTATGTTTGCATTCAAGTATGACCAATGATACGGCAGTTGAGGATATTGAAAGTGGAGGCCTTACCAGCTGTGCTTGCATCATAAGTCTGTCAATGCTGCATACGTCCTTGTCAAACCTCATATCCCATACCAAACCCCATGCCAAACCCCATGCCCCTACTTTCCACTCTCCCACATTCTGTTTGCCTTCCAGGAGCCACCCCAACAGTCTCCTCCGCAAGTTTCACCTTCTATGACAATACCGATTTCACCTTATCACCCTACACCTACACCACGCGCCTCAACTACATTGCATGCACCAACGTGCCTAGGCCAATTAGTTCCATTCACCAATCATACTGGCGTGTGGACCATGCACCCGGAGGGGCTGGGGATTGCAGGAAAATCGTCATTTATCAGTATCCAAACTGCTACTGAGCTATCACTGTGCTCCCTTACCTGTCCCTGACCAGCATCACTGCAGTGGCTGTCTCGTAAGTCATTCTCACAACCCAATGCTTTTCCATTGATCACTGTGCCCTTTTTTTTGCTTCTAAAACTTGCTTTAACCCATGCAAACCCAGTTATCGAGTTCAATTCTGTTTCCCTGCATCTGCCTGCTTTTGTGCCACCCAACAGACCTGCAAGAACCGTCATTTTCTCCTTCATGTGTGTTGGCTAATCATTGCACTTGTGGAGATACTTGTATGATGCTTTTTGCTGAAGACAAACGGACAATGGTTGAGTCTGTTGTTGAAGTGCTGCCTTTAGACAAGCTTGATGCGGCCAGGGGAGGAGGAGCCATTGGCTTCCAAGTACTGCCATGGGAATTCTCATTTGCGTCTAGTTAGTTTTACCTCTCTTCTTCAGCCGCTAATCTCTTGGTTTCTCTCCCATCTCTCCTTTCCCATTGAGTTAGCAACTATGTGTGTCTGTGTGTGTGTGTGTGTGTGTGTGTGTGTGTGTGTGTGTGCGTGCGTGCGTGCGTGCGTGCGTGCGTGCGTGCGTGCGTGCGTGCGTGCGGGCGGGCGGGCGGGCGGGCGGGCGGGCGTGCGTGCGTGCGTGCGTGCGTGCGTGCGTGTGTGTGTGTGTGTGTGTGTGTGTGTGTGTTTGTGTGTGTGTGTTTGTGTGTGTGTGTGTGTGTGTGTGCGTGCGTATGTGCGTGTTGTCAAACTATATATCTATTCTATATGTGTAGGCTGTAGTGGGGTAGCTGATATGGGGTATAACCCCTTAGGGTTTCCTACTTGTACCCAACTTTCATCTAGTTCATTGATTCTTGCCTGTAGATTCTGACATTGTTTCAGAGCAGTAGGTCCATAGGACCGTTTTTTTTTTTCGGGCCCACCTACCGTTGCGGTTACTGAGCTGCCCCACGTCTTGCCTGCGCTGCGCCGCCCGCGCGCGCCCTGCCTTGCCTGCGTTGCGTTGCCCGTGCGCGCCCTGCCTAGCCTCCGTGACGTGCTGCCCTGCGCGCGCCGTCCTGCAGCCTTTGCACTGCCTGCTGCTGCCCCGCGTCGCGTTGCCCTGCGCATGCCCTGCCCTGCCCCGCGTTGCGCTGCCCCGCGCACGCCCTGCCCTGCCCTGCGTAAGCGCCCTGCCCTGCGCCAGCGCCCTGCCCTGCGCCGGCGCCCTGCCCTGCGCCAGCGCCCTGCCCGCGCGTCACGCGCTGCTGCCCCGGCTGTTGCACCCTACGGCAGCCTGCGCGTCGCGCGCTGCTGGCCCGCGCGTCGCGCCCTACGGCAGCCCGCGCGTCGCGCTCTGCTGCCCCGCGCGTCGCGCTCTGCTGCAGCCCGCGCGTCGCGCCCTGCTGCAGCCCGCGCGTCGCGCTGTGCTGCCCTACACAGCGCGCGCCCTGCTACCCGCGCAGCCCAGGCCGAGCCGCCCTACCCGACCCGATCCGCCCTCCTGCTCGTGCTACTACTGCTGCTGGTGGAGGTGCTGCTAGGACTGGTGGAGGTGCTGCAGCCTAGACTCACCGGGCCGCTCTACTGCTCTTACTGCTGTTGCTGCTGCTCGTGCGCCTCCTCGCTTACCCGCTATGACTTCCCTTCGTAGTAGCGGTGGGAGTGATGCCGGTGGTGGTGGCAGCAGTGGGAGTGGTGGCGGCCGTAGTAGCAGTCGCTGTGGAGCTGTTCGGTGGGGAGTGTCTCGCGCTGGCCAGATGCAGCTGCAGCGGCGTCCGCGCGAGACCCTTACGCCCCAGCAGCTTCGTGAGTGGTACGCCAGGTGGTGTACAGGCGGCGGCCGTCGTGGCAGTCGCGGTGGAGCTGGTCAGTGCGGAGTTCCTGGCGGTGGCCAGATGCAGCTGCAGCGGCGTCCGAGCGAGACCCTTACGCCCCGGCAGCTGCATGAGTGGTACGCTCAGAGTTGGGGGTGTAGGACTACTGCTCGCTGCCCGTACGTCATTTGCACAGGTGATCGGGCTGGTCAGACCTGCGGGACAGTTAGTCACACAGAATCCCACTGCTTCTCCCGTCTGAGCGACGCTTGGCGAGCACGGTTTGGCGACGAGGCTGAGCTACCCCTCTGGCTAGAGCTGCTTCGAGACGGAGTAGATATATTTGCTCTAGACTATGACACTATCCTTACTGCCATGTATGCTCTGACTGGTACTACTGAGGGTGACTGTTACCTGTGTGTGCCCCCTGACCCTGGTATAGCAGCTGCTTCTGTGGGTGCTAGTGAGTCTACTCTCTCTGGTACTGCGCCTGCTGAGGCCTTGCACACCTTCACGCTTGACTCAGGTGCTTCCCGCTGTTTCTTTCGTGACAGTACCACAGTCACTCCCCTCCCTGCACCTGTCCCTGTCTCACTGGCTGACCCCTCTGGGGGCCCAGTGCTTGCACGGTCCAGTACTGTGCTTCCGTGCCCGGTGGTCCCGTCTGGCTCACTGTCAAGTCTCCACATCCCCTCGTTCTTTACGAACCTGGTGAGCAACGCCATCCTTCAGGATCATTGGGTTGACACCTTTACTCCTGGAAGATAGCGTGTGGCAATCTGCACGTGCTCTCGGACTGGCCGCCACCTGGCTACGTTCACACGTGCGCCTGGGTCCAGTCTGTACACCCTCACCACTGTGTCGCGCTACACCCCTTTGTCTCCTCAGCTGTACGCGTCCGCTCAGGTAGCTACCCAGTGTGAGTGTCACCGCCTGTCGCACTAGACTCTCCTTTGGCACCACCGCCTTGGTCACCCCTCCCTGCCTCGCCTTCGTGGCATGCACTCTCGCCTTCTGGTCTCTGGTCTTCCCAGGTCTCTGCCCTCCCTCCCTCCCTCGCCTGCGCCGCCCTGCATTCCTTGCGTCGAGGGGCGGCAGCACGCCGCTCCTCACTCCTCCTCGTTCCCTCCCATAGAGGCTCCACTGCAGACTCTCCACCTGGACGTGTGGGGCCCAGCCCGCGTCCAGGGGCAGGGCCGCGAGCGGTACTTCCTGCTGGTCGTCGACGACTACACGCGTTACACCACGGTCTTCCCCTTGCGCAGCAAGGATGAGCCAGATCCATGATGATCTGATCCCCTGGATCCGCACTGTTCTTCTCCAGCTCCGCGAGCGGTTCCAGTCGGACTTTCCTGTCCTGCGTCTGCACTCTGACAGAGGTGGTGAGTTCACCTCCGACCTCTTGCGAGCTTTCTGTGAGGAGCACGGCATCCGCCAGTCGTTCACGCTTCCGGCCTCTCCGCAGCAGAATGGGGTTGCTGAGCGCTGCATTGGCTTAGTCATGGAGGTCACTCGTACCTCCATGATTCATGCGGCTGCCCCCCATTTTCTGTGGCCGTTTGCGGTCCAGTACGCTGCGCATCAGCTCAACCTCTGGCCCCATGTCTCCTTGCCGGAGACCTCGCCTACACTGCTGTGGACTAGGGAGGTTGGCGATGCGTCGCGCTTCCGGGTCTGGGGTGCTCGTGCCTTTGTCCACGATACCACCGCGGACAAGCTCTCCGCTCGCGCCATTCCCTACGACTTCCCTGGTTTTCCTCCTTACGCGCCTGGCTGGCAGTTTTACGACCCCGCTTTGCGCTGTGTTTTTCCGTCTCAGGACGTCACATTTGACGAGTCGGTCCCCTTTTACCGTCTCTTTCCCTACCGCACTGCCGCTCGCCCCCCCCCCCCTCCGCTCTTTCTCGCTCCAGGTCCTCCCCAGGTAGACCCCCTCCCCGCGCCAGGTCCTGCTCCTTCAGGTGTTTCTCAGGTAGACCCTCCTGTGCCTGAGCCTGTTGAGGTCACTGGTGACTCAGGTCCTGCTGGGGGTGGTCCTGCTCGGGGTGCTGTCTCTGGGGGTGCTGCATCTAGGGGTGTTGAGCCTGAGCGTGCGGAGCCTAGGGGTGCTGAGCCTGGGGGTGCTGAGTCTCGGAAGGGGTGCTGGGCCTGAGTGTGAGGAGACTGGAGGTACTATGCCTGGGGGTGTTGCGTCTGAGGGTGCTGAGCCTAAGCATGAGGAGCCTGGGGGTGCTGAGTCTGGGGGTGCGGCGCCTGAGGGTACTGAGACTGCTTGTGCGCGGTCTCCTTGGAGTGGCCGCCTTCGTCCGCGTGCGCCTCTCTCCCCACATCAGGTGCGCAAGTGGTACGCTCGCCGTCAGGGTCGCGCTGCTGGAGCTAGGGGCCCTGCTGCTGGAGGCGCTTCTGTTGACGTCCCTGGACCTGGTGGTGCCAGTTCAGAGGGTACTGGGGCTGGTGCGAGAGGTGCCGACGACGCTGGAGCCGCTGGGCCTGAGGACGCTGGAGCTGGTGGTACTGCTGACCCTGGAGGTGCTGTCGGAGCTGCTGACACTGGAGCTGGGAGTACTGCGGGTACTTTGTCTGCTGGAGGTGCTGGAGCCGCTAGACCCGGAGGTGCTCGTACTGGAGGTACTAGAGCTGCTGGGGCTGGAGGTGCTATGTCTGGGGGTGCTACTGCTGGAGACCCTGGGACTGGAGGTGCCGGTTCTGGGGGTGCTGCTGCTGGAGACACTGGGACTGGAGTTGCCGGTTCTGGGGGTGCTGCTGCTGGTGACGCTGGTACTGGCGGTGCTGGCGCTGGAGGTTCTGCGGCTGCTGGTGGTGCTGGCGCTCGAGGAGCTGGCGCTGGAGGGTCTGGAGCTGCTGGAGGTTCTGGAGCTGCTGGAGGCCCTGGAGCTGCTGGTGCTGGTGGCACTGCTGCGCAGCGACTGTTCTTCTCTCCGCCGTCACCGTCGTCTCTGCCGCCTCCTGACACAGTGCTTCGCCAGGTTCTTACCCTGCCGTCTTCCACTGACCTACTGTTACAGCCTGGCTCCCCCCTGACTGCTCCCTCTCCTTACACTGAGCAGACAGGAGGTCTTACTGAGCGTCGCGAGCTTGCATCCCATCCTGTCTCGCCTGCTCGCATTGGTTGCACTGGTCGCACTGGTCGCACTGGTCGTGTTAGTCGTGAGCGTCCTCCTCCTGTCCCTGGCACGCACATTATGGCACTTCGTCC